TTCTATTCACTGTGTAAGAGACGATTCAAGTTTGCGCTCTAGCGAGAAACGCTCAACCCAGAACGACATGGTTTGCACCTGCTTAAATGGCCTATAAACTGACAGAAACCTATTTCGACGATACCGACGCTTGCCAACTTGAAAACGGCAATTTAAGACATTATCAGGATCAAAGTGAGCGTAAATCATATTATCAGAATTGAAATTAAACCAATTTTGCTATCTTAGCTCCTCTGCTGTGTTGCAGAATTAAAAGTTTAACGCAGGCCAAAATGTCAACTCGGTTAGCTGGGTGACATTTTTCACGTTGGAGCAAAATGTCTCCAAAAAGGTCCATATTGGGATGTGAGTGAGAGAGATGAGCGAGGTAATGGAGGGACATTGGCTGTGATTCATCGTGCCAGTCGAAAGGGAAACGATACGACCGGTATTTCGGATTCACCGTGCGCCCGCGAATTATGGCATGCAAAATGGCAGCAAAGGTTGGCGCGAGACACGCGTGACTGGAAAAACGGCTTCCCGGAGGTGCGACACCGCAATAGAGACGCGCGGGACTTGTAAATTATGTGCGAAATTGTGAAAAAGGGGGACACGCTTGCGCCACCGGGTCGCGTAACCTCGGTTGACCCTTTACGCAAAAATATCAGGCTATGTGGGCTATGCTCTTTGACATCGATATGTATACCAAGAGAGAGAGAGAGAGAGAGAGAGAGAGAGAGAGAGAGGGGGGGGNNGACAGGTAAACGAGATTGGTGAGCCGGCCGGATGCGCCGTAAAAAGAAAGTCTAACGATCTGCCGGAATCGACAGGATATGTGCCGCGTTCAGATGCATATGCTGCCAATATCGCTATTTCGGCCGATATCAATTTCCCGAAATGCAATGCCCTTTCGGGACGACAACCCCGGTTACGATGCAGTCGGGAGATGCTGTCCGAAATAGAACGGAGCTTTAACTAGCATAAGATATGAGAGACAGCGTTCTCCTCGTACGGAACATACTGTATGTCGATAGAGAGGGGAAAGAAAAAAAATGTCTCTCTTTTTAGCGCGTTTGTCGTTGTTGCGACGTGGGTAACTTCGTTGTTGATCATGTTCTCCTACTATCACAATTAAATTTCCATAAATTCTCGATGCTGCGCAATTTTCACAGATTCGTATCATAAGAATATAACGAGCGTGGAGCTTGCATGATTTAACTCATTAACCTTCCCGTTGATCACGTTCTCCCAATACCAAACTAAAGTCCGATGGATTCCGGTTGCTGCGACATTTTCACAGAATCGTATCAGGAGAATATAACGAGCGAGGAGCTTGCACGACNAGACTCGTGAACCCTCTCGCTGATCACGTTCTCCTAATACCAAACTAAAGTCCGATGGATTCCGGTTGCTGCGACATTTTCACAGAATCGTATCAGGAGAATATAACGAGCGAGGAGCTTGCACGACTTACTCCTGCAACCTCCTCGCTGATCATGTTCTCCTAATATCAAAACTACATTTCCAGCCATCGCGCCAAGTAGCGGCGGGAAGAGGCGATCGTTTTCGCGAACTCTTGTTTTTAAAGCCGGGACTCATTTAACTCGGTTAACAAACACACACAGGCTGCGTTAGCAACCCGCATCGTAGGATCAAAGCCTCTTAAAGTGATTTCCTGGTTGCGGCACCAATATTTGTCTAAAGAATTCCCATGACCATATTTAATGCAATCAGATCCACGCGAGGCGAGCTTGAACGTCTGGGATGCTGCGAAAAAAGTTGGCGCCTCTTTATTGCATATGTATATATGCGTATATGTGTATATATCGCGAGTGACATTATTTGGCGTCGAGAAATAAGTTATGGCGTTACTCGTCTTAAAACGGTGGTAAATGGCATTAAACTTCCTTGAGAAAGTCGTTTGAACGACTTCCGTTGCGCAGACGCGATCACGGACGTGCGATTTTGCTCCTTTTCTTGTCCCTTTCTTCCTTTCTCCGAGCAAGCGACGCAGATACGTTCTGATTTTCAATATCACAGTTCCCGCTATGGACTTCGCACTTAATTGCCCGATCGATCGTCGGGAGCGTTGAAAATTTAAGTTGCGCGCAACGCGCGCGAAAAGGGAAGCGAGAGAGGAACACGGCCATTAAAACCGATAACGTGCAATTTAATTTCGGACGAACATATGCTCGTGTTAATTACGAAACACTTTGCCACCGTAATGGTCCCGCCGCCACACGGTGTAATGTTTGTTTTTTTTTTTTTTTACTTGCCGCACATCCCGCCCGATTTTATACCATCGGCACCACTTTAAGAGTCATGAATAATTCCTCTATTTTCAAACACGCTCAAACATGCACATAAAGCGAAGCCGTGAATCGCTCCGAATTTGTCCGGGATTCAGCCGGGTTTACGCGGGTTAAAATCGCGGGCTCGTAATTTGTCACGACAAATCCGGACGTTTTCGGCGAAAATTTACGAATGGCACATTCGGGGCCCCGCCGCCGCATGTTTTCCGCTACTTTGGAAAACGGCTGGAGCGAGGAAACATCGCCGACTGTTTTTTTCAGGAACGGCAGTAAAAGAGTCATCCGCGATTTTATTCGCGGGACTTGCGCGCCGGGGAGAACGCCGAAGCGGAACCAAACGAGAGAGAGACACTGGCGTAAATTTCTCGGAAAGTTTCTGCAATAAAGCCTGGATAGCAGGCAAAGACGTGTAATTGTAACTTTCGTGATCAAGGTGAAACTGTACTGAAACTCATTGGTGAATCCCACGGAAACTTACGAGACGGCATTATCGTGCGTGACGCGTCTCGTCTCCGCTCGCGTTCTCCTTCTTGTCCTATTTTCTCGTCAACGAATTTTAATCCGGCGCTTATTTAATCGCATCTTGGGATCTTTTCCCTTTGTAAGCTAATTAGTGCAATCTTATCTTTAGCCGAGTACCTTATAATCTTTGCACTTCGCATTTGAGTTTTAGTTTCGTTATTTATTTAACTTCCTCCGTCCCAAAATCTGTATACTAAAAGGTCTTCACGTCATTAAATGAATAAAGGAATAAACAAATAAATAAATAGTAGTAATTAACTAAATAGCGCGCGTCTCTCTGCGCTGGTCTATTAGTAATAAATAGAAGGATCGCTGGAAAGAGTAAAGAAAGGCCTGGAACCTTCGAATGTATCGAAGCGTTGAAGTCTCTTTTACGCGATGTTGATTCGGCGGTGAAATTTGGGTCTCTCGATGCGAGTTGTTGTTGCCGTTGTTCGACTCATCGCAGTCACTGCGTAGATTACGCGTTCTACCGGAGATACTATTTTTTCGCCAATTTTCTCGTCCGGATTTCGATGCCTATTTCATTACGCGAGCTGCGATTTTTTTCTGTGCAATAGCAGTCAACTAAATAGCGCGCGTCTATGTTGGTCCGGTGTAAACTCGCGGTTCGGATTGATACGCGGGGACCGCGGGGATACGTTGGGTAACGAGCGGAAGGCGGACGTGAGGCAGCCGTTTTACCCTATCAATCGCATCCACCCCGATGCTATACTCGCGAAAGCCTCTCTGTGAAATTGGTATCGCTCCTCGCCCGCGCTCTTTTATCGCCCCGCTGAAATTCCAGTGTCTACCCGCTGTACACGACGTGAGACTATCGCGAGCTCTTTCTTTAATCCCGATACAGGTAGGGAATTCCCCGAGAGGCACCACCGCCGACCCTCCCCGGAGGAAATGTCTCTCACCCCGCGAGACCCTGCTTCTCCCTCCTCTTATCCCTTTTTCATCCTCTTCTTCTTCCGCCTTCCTCCACCATGGCGCGAATCACTGTACCTTTTCACCACCGTTTCCTTCCCCGATGCCTCCTCCTCCCTCTTTCGCCCCACTTCCTCGCCGTCGTTGTCCCAAGCCGTCCATTCGTTTCTTAGCGTCTCCCTTTCCGCCCTCGTTCATACTCTACTCCCCTCTTTGTGCCGCCTTCAGGCTTGGCCTTCTCGCTTTTATCGTCGGAGGCAGCAGATTTTCCTCATTTTACTTTTCAATCTCACGGAGGATGCGATTTTCTTCCTCATTTCCACTCCGGCAATATCGGAGGAAGCTCGACGAGCAGTCGGAGCAGCGAAGGAAGAAAGGAGGAGCACCGGAGCTTCGCCGGCCAAGTGGTAGACGGCGGGGAAACAGGAAGCGCGGATGGAGAAAGGGTTAATCCATCTATCACCTGTTAACGTTAGAGCCTGCCATTAGGAAATTCCATTTACTTGCCTCAAGGCGACCTCGAGGGCGGCTATAACGTCTCGCGTGTCGTCGCTTCTTCATCAACGACAAGCAAATTGACGTCGTTTTTCTGCGAGTTTACCTGGTCACTTCGAACTCGCGTCGCGGGAATTAACGTTGCGCGATTAGAAGATTTTTTTAAGATCCAACTGGGACCGAATTCCCAAAATAATTATGGATTCTAGTTCGTAGATCCTGCGATTAGAAGTGCAGTGTTTGTCAAATATACATTTATTCGTCCCTCGACCTTGTCTTAACCGGCCTTACGACCTGTAAGAGTCACTTTGACCCCATATTAACGTTTCTAAACGTAAAATTTCCTATTCTCTTCATTTCATCATAAAAAGAACTCGAGTTGACCTTGAAATGACTTCTAAATGTGACTCCAAGGTAAAGTCGAGGTCACTAACAAACGTCCTTTTCCGAGCCGCCCAACTTTTGTCTAAAACATTTTTTTCATTGACCCACCGTTTTCCAAAATATTTGCATGTATAAGTTAAAATGAGACATCCTTTATATATATATTCGGAATAAGCTTGAGTATTTTGATCTCATCTACTTCTAATCTTAATGCCACATGGATCGTTTCCCAGTGGCTACGAAGCATCTGAAGATGAATTTAAGACGACCTTAAATATAAGATATCAATCTACGTGGGGAAAAATCTAGGAAAATTCCCATGTGGGGATTGAGGGAATTTTCCCTTTGAAAACCTTTTTGGTCGACCAAAGGATCAGGACATTCCGGACTCACCTCCAAAACGTGTTCCGCCTGGTTCTCGCGGTCGAGCTTCCTGCCGCTGGTGGTGATGAGACCTGCAACACAAATGACGCCGGTAACGATTAGCCGACGAAACGTAGGACGATTAATAAATAACGACGCTGGAACGATGGCAGCGGAAAGGTAAAACGGCCGGGCACTTTGCGCGATGACCCGCTCTCTCAGCCCGGCCGATAAAATCCCGCGGGCAGCTGCACAAGGTGGATGCGGCCGAGAGGGATGCGAAAAGGGTACGACTCTCGGATTGCGGGCGAATGGCGGGGCGCCTCCATTATCCGAGGCAAAGATCGGCATCCGATGGAACGACGGGATTACAGCGTTCAGATTTTGTCGCCCCGGACGACTTTTTCAACCGCCCCGCCGCGATATCGGCCTTTATTTTACCGTCCGTGCGGATTCCCTTTCATCATGGCGCGCGGACCTTGCTCGCGGAAACTCGATTGAGCCGGAAATTCGCGATGAATCCATGGATCCTTCCTGGATACGCGCGGAAAGCTTTTCCGACGAAGAGGGCGAGCGCGTATTTTAATATCGCCGGGACGACGACGCGCGTCGCGAAATCAAATTAACAAGAAACGCGAGCAAAGCCTCCTCCCCGGTCGATACTTTCGCATACCGCGAAACAAAAAAGAAACCCTATACGCGTCCGTACAGAGCTGGAGGGCGGGGGGGGCTCTCTTCCTCTCTTTTCTTCCATTCTAGTTTTACAGTTTCCGGTTGGCCGACGCCGTGACGACGGCCTACATTTTCCACGTTGTAGCTAATCGAGTTACGGGGAAGCCGTACTCGGCCGTCGTAACTTTCGTTACATATCCCCCCCCCCCCNCCCCCCCCTCGGTTATGATCAGCACTGCGTAAATTCGAACTCGGATATGCGCGCCATTAAAACAAACTAGTTCCGCGTTTTCGCCAGGTGAACGCCCGCCGACGTGTTAAACCTTCGCCGTAGGACGCTCTGTTATTACGCGGCGACGGAACAAAAGCGTGCGAGCAAGCGAGCGGGAAACGCTTAACAGGGCTGTGAGCTTTCAAATCTGACTTTCATTCTCAGCCGCGCGCGCGCTGTTTTCAACTTTAATTAATTGCGTCTTCCCTCTCTCGCGTCTCCTCGGCCTCCCGCAGTATTCCTCCGCGATATCGAGATCGCGAGCTCGACAATGCCGGGCGGCGGACACTCCTTTTTACCTTCAAATGGAAAGCAAGAGAAAAGTGAGGGAGGGGGGACGCATGGACAAAAGGGAAAAAGAGCTCGGGGGAGAATTGCGGGAAGTGGCGTTCGATCGAGCGGCGCGCGCGAACGCCCCGACGTTGTAGGACGCATTTAAATAATTGCTTTTCGTTTTCGTTCCTCTCACCCTGTAAGCTCCGAGGGTTCGGATGGGAATGCGCGGCCACGCACTTTCTCTCATGTTGCATGTGCGTGCAAACGGGAACAGGTTCCGCAGCGGCGGCGCGAATAAGCCGGGAGCGGGCGGGAAATTCGTTATCGGAAATCAAAGCGGGTGGATGAAATTATTTACGATATTATCCGGCGATTCGTCCGATCGTGCTGACGATGCAACGACGCAAAACGAAGGTGTCTGGCTCTCCCCGCTCTTCGGAATAACGTCGGATTTATTTTCTCGCGCGTAGATCCCAATGGACGTCGCGAGGACGTTTTTTCCTCGAAGCACCGGCCGGTGTACGCTCGAGTAATATTTTATGGTGATAGAGAAAAATGCTTCCGGGGCGTCGGGAGGAGCAACTAGAAGCCCGTTTAAAGGCCGCTCATCTCTCGCCGAGAGAGAGAGAGAGAGAGAGAGAGAGAGAGGGGGGGGGGG